ACGTTTGAATATTATTTATGATATTAATATATAATGTCATATTAACACATTTGGAGTTATGATTAAAAAATGAAGCGAAGCGTAAAGAAAATTATTGATATATATCAGCTGTGAAATTTTAGAAAATGAAATCGGAATAGATAACAGTGAAATGTCTAGTAATTATTTCTCCACTGAATCATGTGGCTGTTAACAGTCATTATATCATTAACGTTTTCTCATTCAAACTTGGTCGGGTCAAGAAACAATCGGTAAGAACACGTTAAGTTACATTGAAAAATCAAGTCTTTCTACCACATAATTTTCTCTTTATAGATTAATTATATTTTTGACTCTTCGTTTTAAATGTTTTCTAATGCATTGTAAGCTCGTACTTTAAACTGTAGCTACAAGAAAATTTTCTACGTTCTATTAACGGAAAATCTCAATAAAACAAACAATTTATTTTATTATAATTACAAATTCACTCTCTCAGAAAGTTTTGTTTCTTTTTTAAGCGCAAAGTTGCACAATGAGCTATATGGATTGTGTCTATCATGAGTATCGAAACCTTGTTTTTTTTAACATTGTAAGTCTTCAGACTTGCCACTCAGCCACTGGGGGCGAGGCTCAGAAAAATATCTATAACTAATTGGACAACGCTTGTCGGTAATTATTTGCCTTTATGTCTAGCAAAGTGCCTTTTTTTTTCTTCTTTACCTGTGATTAACTTTCATTACTAATTATTCAACGGAGATTCCCGGAATAATTAGCATTTTCAACCTGATCTACACCTCGTTCACACGTAGCCTAAAAGGGCAGAGCAGAGAGCCTTAGAATTCAGGTACAGCCGTCCTTAATCTTGAAATACTGCCCAGAACTGAGGCACTCGCTCCCACAATAGCTTTATCTGTCTCTATGAGCTGAATTATGCATTTGCCTGTCACTTTTATAATTCGCCCAGAGTTAAATATGTAAAGCCCGATACGCACGTCACTAGGTCACACCCATCTCAGGTTCCAGGATTAAGCAGTTTATTTATGTGAATTTTAATTTCGAAAAATATTGAATGAAAATAGTCAATGCTGCAATTTTGTGTAGAATTATATTACTAACCAGCTGGTTGTTTCAAGGCCTTTTTAAAACAAATTCGAGATAGAATATGGAATTTGTAATTAAAATCATCCACGAAACCTAGAGGGTCGTCTACTAATTACTCAGTAAAAAATAATAATAATAAACATAATTTGTTTTTGTATCTTGTAGGCTCATATGGTTGCGGCATTTGAACAATCCTTGTCTAATATGACCAATAGACTACACCATCTAACAGCCAGCGCTGAACAAAAGGTAATATATGAGGAAATTTACTTTAGGAATTATCCTTTTTTTTCTATTTTGAGATAAGTAAAGTATAACAAGTATTTTGTTTGCGTGTAGGGGGGTAGGGTGGGAGTCATTTTGTCAGTAGAAAACATAAGTATTGCCTTTTTACTCTATGAAACAGACATTCTATCTCATTCATATATAAAGCTTAAGAATCAGTGTAACTTTTCCAACAGTTCAAATTACAAACAGTAAATACCATGTATTGAGTTTGGTTACCAAGTACTTTGTAAATAACACAAGTATTTATCTAGAGAAATATGCATAACTCTGTTTTTCTTTTGCTCTTCTAACACGTCGCACTACTATTGTGCCATATGTATCTCTTCGGAAGAATGTCATAAAGTTTCAATAGTATTCTGATTTCAGAACAAAAAGCTTATATATATGTAAATGTCAATTCTAAGATTTTGCTGTGTTATGGAATGGAAGTGTATTGAGTGCGGTTAATTAAATTAATGTAACAATGTAATTTTTTTATTGTTCTAACTAGGACTCTGAGCTTGGGGAACTACGAAGTACAATTGATGCTCTCAGCAAGCAAAGTACAGAAGCCGGACTCACTAAGATGGCGCTGCAGTCAATGCAAGCCGTTCAAAGAAGTACGAATGTTGCACATTTAGTTCGTCGTCACACTTTCAATAACTCTAAGCAGCATGGTGAGCTTTACTAATGCACACAGACACACACATAAACTAAATGGGAACTAACCAGATATTAACAGAAAGCAAGCTAAGTTTTAAAAACTAATCTTAATATTACTGGCGTGATTTGATGTATAATAATGTATCTCAGTTCTAATAACTGGCCCTTTCCTGTTTGTTTGTTTTTCAAGCGCAAAACGGTACAATGGGCTTTCTGATCTTTGCCCAGCGAGGGTACTGAACCCTGATTTTTAGCCCCTCAAGCTTACTGCTGAGTAACTGTTGAGGAGTTTCTAAACAGTGCCAAAGTATATATTGAAAACTGACACACTAATTAGAAATATATTTTTTGTCTCGTTGTTGTTTGTCAGCCTTATTATGGATTGCAGTTTTTATTTTCTTATAAATAATTTTCAGTAATTCAGATACGTTTTTGTAAAAGGCATTTTATGGGTGTAACACGACATTTGGAAACTGGGGATGCCACGGTCATGTATAATAACTACGAATAATTTTCTGGGTTTTACTAGCGAAAACAACAAAAAAAAAGTTTAGCTGTGTGGCTAAATGTCTTTTGATGTTTAGGTTGACACTTTCAGGTTACAATAAATAAATGAGTTTTACTCTCATATGTAAATATTTCCCGTGATAAGTGTAGTGGCAACCCTTTGCTTTGTTTTCATTTCAGTGGAATAGTTAGGATATCCAGACTGCTGGGGGAGGATGAAAGATACAGAATAACACATTGACAAGTGTTGATGTATTGTATGCTCTACTAGTTAATTAAGTTAATAAATAACCGTAGTATATTGTTTCTGTAGGATTGGTAACAAAAAAGGGCGTACTTGTTCTTACAACGCTGTTTTTGTTGTTGTTGTTGTTTTTGGATTGTATAACGTAATTCTCCACAAGCTATCAAACATTTATTAGTAACAGCAGCTAAAGAGCTATAATTATAACCATTATTATAAAATGCATCTGATCTCTATAATGAGGAAAATAAGAATATTCTTAAACCTGTTCTTCAAAGTATCTATCTTTTTTGTTTTTATTTTATCCACTGTTTTATTTCTTATGGATACCATTATTTCTAATGATAAACAGCACTACGAGAGCATAAAATATCCAGGCAGATGTCTACAGACTCTATGTCAAGTGTCAACTCCGTATCCAGCGGTAACAGTGGGAACTCCAGATCTGCAGATCGTTTTGATAAGACAGGAAAGAAGAAGAAAAAAGGATGGGTAATACAGTTGCTAAGTTATTTTGTAAGAATAGTTACCGAAAGGTGGAGCAGGAAACCGTTTCTGCTTTTTTAATTTAATCTGCGGACAAGTTTGCCAATCTCAATGCTGCCAAAGTAATAATAAGGCCGCGAATATTATCGCTTTTCTAACAATCCACGATAGTGTAAATATTCCGAGCGACCTGTTTGTAATAACTTATTTCTACTTATATAACGCAAACTACATTTATAACCTCTTTATTCTATATTTTTGAAAGTTGAATGTGATTAATGATTATTATTGATAGAAATTAAAATTGAATTCACAGATGTATTACATTTCTAAAACAAATGCTTAACTGCGCATGCTTCCTGTCTATTTTCCACTTAAATAAGTGTCAAGAGACTCACTGAAAAAATAGACTACGGTATGATACAAAGTTGTAAGCGTTTTGGTGACAGATTGTTACCGACCAATGAAAAGGCATCATTTGCGTTATGTACATTTTATTTTTGTTTGAAATTAAGCACAAGGCTACACAATGAACTATCCGTATCGAAACCCGGTTTCTAGCGTTGTAAGTCCGCAGACATCCCGCTGTGCCACTGGGAGGGACGTTATGTACATATGTATATATATATTATACGGGTATTTTCAGTTTATGCGATATGCAGGTTTTGGAAGCTCAAAACCGTGTCTGTAACACTTGTCCTACAATGAGTAACACACACAGGCTGCAACAACGCCACATCTTTAAAACGTTAACAGTGAAAATGCATTTAACTGTTAGGTAATAACAAAAATATTCAAAAGAAACTTACGGAAAAACTTTACCGGCCAAATTATTGGTGGGGCAGATGTCCTACCCGTTCTCCTGGTTCCAGCCCCCTTGATAATACAACATTACAAGACGTTTGTTAAAAAAAAAATTTTTAGATATGTTTCTATTTTATTTGAAGGAGAGATATTGTAA